GTAAGATACTAGGGCCATGTTTCGGTGCATCGGCACCCAGCGCGACTGCCCTGGGCCCTGCCCCTGTCCCTGACCCTAAGCCCTAAACCCTGAACCCTGAATCCTAAACCCCAAACCCTAAACCCGAAAGCCGAAACCCTAAACCCTAAAAACCACAAAAGCCCCAAAACCCCAAGCCCCAAACCCTAAACCCTAAAACCCTAAACCCTAAACCCTAAAACCCTAAACCCTAAACCCTAAACCCTAAACCCTAAACCCGAAACCCTAAACACCCTCAGCCCCATCAGGCTCAGAAAGGCCTTCGGCCTTGTGGCTTTGGGGCTTCAGCTCTGGGGCTTCGGCTTTAGGGTTTAGGGTTTAGGGTTTAGGGTTTAGGGTTTAGGGTTTAGGGTTTAGGGTTTAGGGTTTAGGGTTTGGGGTTTAGGGTTTAGGAGGCTCGAGTTTCTGGGATTTTGTTGGGCATGCCCTTTTTCCTCCCGGGGTTTAGGGTTCAGAGTTTTGGTTTAGGGGAAAAAGTAACGTGGGGTTGAGAGGGGATTCGGGTTTAGGATTTCGGGTTTTCCGGGATTTAGGGTTTGAGCGCATCTTCTTCTCCGATTGCTCAGCTTTTCCAGAAGGAACCCTCAGAACCGGGTACCGATGAAGTTACCCTAAACCCCCAGCCCTAAACCCGAAACCCCAAAGCTAAACCTTGAACCACAGAACCCCGGACACGCAGTATGCCCAAAACTCCCAATACCCAGACTCAGTACTGAAAGCTCATCACGACCCTGCTTTGGCGGGCGACGGCAGCGACAGAAGGATCACAAGCAGCACCGAACCGGAAGCCCTGTAAACCCTAAACCCTAAACCAAGGCTTCAGCTTTCCAGGGGGTTGGGTTTAGGGCTTAGGGTTTAGGGTTTAGGTTCATTGAGAGGTTTAGGTTTCTCAGACAACGATCCAGGCTCAGGGGTTTTAGGTTTGAGGGGCTTGGGCTTCGAGCTCTGAGGCTTAAGGATTAGGGTTTAGGGTTTAGGGTTCAGGGTTCAGGGTTCAGGGTTCAGGGTTCAGGGTTCAGGGTTCAGGGTGGGTCTCAAAGCGCAAGCAAAAGACAGCCCAATGGAAACTGCTGCGTCTTCCGATCGAACTTGTACAGGTTCTTCTCAATCCCCCGGACGAACTCCTCCTGGCGGCAGATCCGTGCGAACGCGGAATGTGTAGATGATCGGGGTGGTAAGAAGAATGTAACACCGTCCAGGCCAAGGGGCACACGTGCCTGAAACTGTAACTATTACGACCACTACGACTCCTCCTACTCCCCCTACTCCTCCTACTCACGCGCTCCTACCACGTGCTCCTACCGTGCTGCTCCTACTGCACCTCCTACTCCCGCCACTGCTGCTACTCTTGCTACTCCTACTACGTCCTACTCCGGTCCAAAGTGCAGTCTGTCTTCGAATGCCAGCTCTCCAAAAATGAGTGCTTCGGCTAGAGACAAAATCAGCAGGGAATACTGTCATCAAAGCCTCTAAACCCTGATCCCTACACCCTCAAAACCTAAACCCTAAACCCCTAAACCCTAATCCCTGCACTCTTTACACCGTGAACCCTACATCGAGAGGATCAGATTGCAGACAGCAAGTGCCTTCTTCTGTTCATCGACCAAGGCCAATGTCTTCTGAAAGGGGGTCGAGAAAAACTCCTGCGAGGCTAAGACGGCTGGAAAGGAAGTCAGACTTCAAGTTCGGAGCATCGACATGGGCGAGCCATCACAAAGCCTGAATCATGTTAAAGAAGAACAAACTCAAGAATCTACTCGATAAACACAATCAGAATATCCTATAATTTTAGTAATAAGTTGGTGGTGGTGGTGGTGGTGGTGGTGGTGGTGGTGGTGGTGGTGGTAAAAGTAGCAGTAGTAGTAGTAGTAGTAGTAGTAGTAGTAGTAGTAGTAGTAGAAGTTGTCGTCGTCGTCGTCGTCGTTGTCGTCGTTGTAGTAGTAGTAGTAGTAGTAGTAGTAGTAGTAGTAGTAGTAGTAGTAGTAGTAGTAGTAGTGCTTGGGTAGCGGGGCTGGGAGCAGGGCTTACGGTTCGGAAAAGGTCTTGGATCAGGGCAA